TCTATGATGGACATGAAGTATCTCCCTCCTCCATGAGTCTGAGTTCTGGCTGGCCCCCATAGATCGCTGTGAACATAGTCAAGGGGTTTCTTTGATGAGTGAGTTCCGGTAGAGAACTTCACCCTGGTGGTCTTCCCCAAAACGCATTGTTCACAGAATTCGAGTTTGCTGATTCGATCTCCACATAACAGACTCTGCTTGGACAGTTCTTGTAAGCCTCTTTCACTTACATGCCCCAGTCTCGTGTGCCATAGTCTGGTTCTATCAGGTTCTGATTGAACTGCATTTGAGCAGTTGTCGATCACGGTTCTTCCAACTAGTGAGTATAGTCCATTCTTTCTGACTCATTTCATGACTATGAGAGAACCTTTGGATACTCTGATGCAGTCATTCTCTGCCTTGAATGAGTATCCACTTGACTCCAGCGTACCTAGTGATATCAGATTTCTTTTGAGTTCTGGGACATACCTGACGTGCTGCAGTATCCTTTTAGCTCTATCGAACATCTTGATTCTGATTGTCCCGCTGTCGACTACCTTGTCAGCTTTACTATCACCAAGTAGAACAGACCCACCGTTCTCCAGCTGCAGTGACTCGAACCAGTATTTGTGAGGACACATGTGGAAGGAGCACCCTGAGTCAAGGATCCACTCCCTGCTAGATTCAGATTTTGTGATCGTCAGAGCTTCAGCTGAATCATAGTCATCTAAGGCTACGCTTGCCTCTCCAGAATCTCTGGGCTTCTCTTGAAAACTTTTCTCTCTATCCGGACAGTTCCTTCTAAAGTGACATTCCTTGTGGCACTGGTAACACTTGTTAGATCTCTTAGAACACTGACTTCTGCCCTTCCTTCTGGACTTTGATATGCTCTGATCACTTTTGAAGTATTTCTTGCTCAATATTCCTCTAACTGTCAGACTATCTCCACTGGTTTCCTCTTTCATGTCGTGCTTCTTCTGGAGTTCTTTAGCTCTAATAAGAGATTGTACCTCCTCCAGAGTAATAGTCTGCGCCCTTCCATAGAGCATCGCATCCTTGAAATGCTCGTAGCTCTTGGGAATAGAGTTTAGCAACAGTA